TGAGGTGCGGCTCAGTCTCAATATAGAGCGATTCTCGTTCCCAGAATAAGATTTGGGATGCAGGAGCACCTGTGGTGGGAATGACTCACTGACGTCCCCAGACCTGCTCTCCATCTGAGAAAAGACAGAGATGCAATACTGCATCCTGGGAAGAGGGGCAGGTGGCTACAGAGATGCAAAAACACTCTTGTACAACATGAGTTCCATACTCAGGCAAATTATGAATCAAGGGCTGGAGAGATGGCTCAGTGGTTAAGAGAGCACTGACTGCTCTTGCAGAGGACCCATGTTCAATTCCCAGCACCCACATGATGGCCAACAACGGTCCATAACTCCAGTTCCAAGAGACTGAACGCCTGCTTCTGACCTCCAAGGGCACTACACAACATGGATGCACCTACCTACATGCAGGCAATATATTCATACACATAAAAATAATAATAAAATATCTTTCAAAAATTATAAATCAAATCTGAGATTAGAAATTTCATCGAGATAATGTTTGAGTGATGTGTTTTGTATAGCAATTTCCTCTGACGTAAAATCCCCCATTTTGGAGGGAAACTCTTTTAAGATAACAAAGGTGTTTTAAAAGGAGGTAAATAACTCAAAAGCATCAGGGAGTCCCTGAAACTGACCAGGCTCACTAGGCTCCTCCCTCTTCAAGCATATATAAGCCCTAAAGCTTATCAGAGACACTCTCGGACTAGCCAGGCTATCTGGAGGAGTCAGACCAGCAGAGCTCAGACCTACTGAGCCGTCTGGAAAAGACACCCTCCAATTTATTAGGCTGCCTGAAGGCTGTGCTATGCACTCTGTTTCCTGCTTTCGTGATCTGCCACCTATACTGAGGGGGGCTTTTGGCTATGCAGCTGTTTTCCAGTCATTTCTGCTCCTCACCCACACTCCTGTTAGTAACCCCAGTGAGAATCACTTGTGCCGAGTTGGATTTTGGTGGAATCATTACTTTGCTGTCATTGGTTCCCTATTTGAGGTGAGTGGATGCTTGTTCATGTCCCCCCAGGAATAGTGTCATAAACATGTGGTGCTGAGGGCTCCTCTGACCTGGTAAGACTCACACTTCACTTTCAATTCCTCGGGAGCATGGCAAACCTCTGTGGTGGTTTGAATGAGAAATGTCCCCCAGAGTCTCATGTATTTGAATACTTAGTCTCCAGTTGGTGGCCCTGCTACGGAAGGTTGGGGAATGTTTAGGACATGGAGCCTTGCTGGAGGAAGAATGTGGGTAGCTGATGGATGGGTAGACAGATGGACGGATGCATGTATGTATATATGGATGGGTGGATGAATGGAATATGAACGCTTGATGGAAGGGTGGATGAATGGATGGATAAATGGAAGGGGAGATGAATGGATGATGGATGGATGCATGCATGAGTGGATGAATGGAAGGTAATGGCTGGATGGAAGGGTAGATGGATGGATGAAGAGATGGATGGAAGGGTGGAGTAATGGATGGATAAATGGAAAGAGAGATGAATGGATGGATGGATAGATGAATGGATGGATAGATGGCTGGATGCATGCATACATGGATGGGTGGATGAATGGAAGGTAATGTTTGGATGGAAGGGTGGAGTAATGGATGGATAAATGGAAGGGTAGATGAATGGATGATGGATGGATGGATGTATGCATGCATTAATGGGTGGATGAATGGAAGGTAATGGCTGGATGGAAGGGTAGATGGATGGATGGAGAGATGGATGGATGGATAGATGGCTGGATGCACCTATACATGGATGGGTGGATGAATGGAAGGTAATGGTTGGATGGAAGGGTGGATGGACAGATGGACGAGTGGATAAATGGATGGAAAGGTGGATGAAATGGATGGATATGTGGAAGAGTAGATGAATGTATGGATGGATGGTTGGATAGATGAATGGATACATGCATACATGGATAGGTGGATGAATGGAAGATGATGGCTGGGTGGAAGGTGATGGATGGATGGAAGGATGTATAGATGGATGGGTGAATGAGCGGTAGATGAACTGGGGGATGAATGGATGGGTGGATAGATGACAACAGACAGAAACAGGATAGAATGGGGACACAGAAACTTCCTGGATTGGATTCTGTTCCTTATATAACATATTTAATATTCTCTCTCTCTCTCTCTCTCATGCATGTGTGAATAATGTATGTAGGCAGGAGGAGGTGTATACACTGAGCATGTGTGTGTAGGCCAAAGATTGGCATAGGATATCATCCACTATTGCTGTCTACCGTATTTATTGAAATGCTCTCTCACAGAAACTTCCTGGATTGGATTCTTTTCCATATATAACATTTTTAATTCTCTCTCTCTCTCTCTCTCATGCATGTGTGAATAATGTATGTAGGCAGGAGGAGGTGTATACACTGAGCATGTGTGTGTAGGCCAAAGATTGGCATAGGATATCATCCACTATTGCTGTCTACCGTATTTATTGAAATGCTCTCTCACTGAGTCTGGAGCTCACCAACTGTCTAGATTAGCTTTCCAGTGAGCTCTGGGGATCCACCTTCTCCACCCTCCAGTTCTAGGGTTACAAATCTGTGCTACCATACCTGGTTTTTATGTGAGTGCTGGGGATGTAAACTCAAGTCCCCAGGCTTGAACGGTAGGCACTTTACCAACAGAACCATCTTTCTAGCACCACACGTCACATTTTAACACAAACCCTTAGGATCTGCTCGTGCAGAAAAGATAACTATAAATTCTCCCGATGGCTCAATGTTATTATATCTATCATGTTAAGTGAAACATGCTATACTTAGAACGATAAGTAACATGTGTTTCCTCCAACATGTGGAGCCAAGAAAAGCATTGTAAAAGAACTTGGACTATTGGAAATAAAGAAGGGCCATAGAAGGAAGGAACCTGGGGCCTGGAAAGATGGCTCTTGCAGAGGACCTGGGCCCAGTTACCAGCACCACATGGCAGCTAACAACCGTCCATAAGTCCAGTTCCAGGGGAATCTGACGCCTTCTTCTGACCTCCGTGGGTATTGCACAACATGGGTGAACTTAAACACATGCAGGCAATATACTCATACACATAAAATGAAAATAATAAATAAAATATTTTAAAAACAAAGGACGTGATGAGGTGATGAGGTTGAGAATGATCAAATTTGTTATATACATGTACAAAAATGTCCTAATGAAATAAATTATTTTGTTCTATTAACATTTGCTAATAAAAATATCACCATATCTAATATTATATATGTAGGGCACAGCACAGGGGTTCCTTGGCACAGGGAGAAGATAGAAACACCCAGTTTCCCCTGCTCTCCAAGGTAGGTTCCCCCCAACTGGCCATGATTCCTATTTATCCCTCAAACGGAAAATGTGGGCTCACTCTCACATATCCCCTTTCTGAACTGAGAGCCCCTGACTACAAACCAAAATGCACTGGGCAAATACTGGTGTGCAGGGCTTCTTGGACCCTCCAGCTCATAAACACCCAGAGAGTTCTGGGGAGGTGACTGATACTTATCTAGGACCATGGACAGGCCTAACATTATAGCACAGAACAGGAGCTCGGTGAACAGAAAAGGGTGATCCTGTAATCTCATCCTAACACCCTTAAGCAGTCCATCATTTCCCCCTTCTGTTCCTTGAGGTCTCCTCTGCTCTCTCCCTCTGGTCCTCGTGTCTAAGATGACTGGAATCTCAGGGTGGTCACCAGGATGTGAGGTCCTCCACTGTGTCAGTGTCTGATGGGTTGCTGACCTTCCTCCCGTTTCCCTCAAAGACACTACCTGATGACTGAACATCCACTTAGTGGTAAAGGTTCCAGAGTCTGTGAGCATTTACTCATTTCTTGTCTAGCCAGGTGGGAGCACTCCTAGGGATGGTCTAAGTCCCAAGTCCTTCAGGGAGGTGGGGCTCCAGGGCCAAGGTGGACCCCCCCTCCCACCCACCTTGCACTGCCTGGTGGTCGAGAGCCACGAGAGCCACGTGTCTTGCAGGGCACACCCCAATGAGAATACCAGTCATGCCTTCTAGACCCAGGAAGTCCCTGCATCTTGGTCTTAATGTGTGGCGGTTGAGAAGCTGTAAGGAGGAAAGGCTGAACACATTTGCTTTCCTCCCTCTAATCCCTCACGGAAGAACATTTTCCGCTTAAATGCAGATTTCTTTTCAGGTTTATCCCAAGAGATGTTTTCAAGATACACTTTCAACGCTCTCGCCCCCTAGTGGTCCTCAGCGCAATTTTCTGTTTGTTTCTTTTTTTTGCAATGTTTATTTTTATTGAGTTTTTGTGCATTTCATAGAATTTAACCATATTTTAGATCCTCTCCCTATCTGCAACCCCAATAGCCCGCCCACAGGGTTTCATACATTCTATCATATATGTTAAGGCCTATTGAGTCAAGTTTGTGTCCCCAGATGTCCTTCGGTGTGAATTCATCCACTGGAGCCTGGTTGGCCTATCTAGCTCGTCACTCCCTTAAGGAAGATCGACTCTCCCTCACCCAGAAATGACCAGCTGCTGGTAGTTCCTCAGCTATTGAGGAACTGTTGAGGTTTCTGCCCATTTCCACAGTTCTATGGTGGTTTTTGTCTAATTGGGTTTGATTGGTCTTGCACATGCTGTCACAACTGTTGTAAGTTCATATGAGCAAGGTCCCAGGAGCCCGGAGGACCCTGTTTCCTTCTGTTCATGCACCAGCCCTGGCTCTTAAAACCTTTCTGCCCCCTCTTCTACTCTTCCCCAGTGGTCCCTGAGCCCTGGGTGGGTGAGCACTATCCAGGGATACATACTCTGCAGTCTTTTACTTAATTTGTTTTGAAAATTTCACACGAGTACTGTATGTACATAATTTCCACCCCTCTCTCTCTCTCCCCAACTCTTCCAAGCACCCCACACACTCCTTCTCAGCTGTGTGACCGCCAATTAGTATTTTTATACATACATACATACACATACACACACACATATATATATATATGATTCTTTGTGTGCAATTTTCATTAAATTTATTGACAATGTCATACATGTATATAGTACATTTTAATTACTGTCACCCTCCTCTTATCTCCTTCCCCTACAACCCATCACAAAGATGGTTCTGTTTACACTCTGTGGGTCACAACACAAATTTTTCTGCCTTAATTTGAGAGAAGAGAGTACTTGACCCTGCTGTACACAAGGCAGAGATCCTGACAAGTTCTAAAGCACAGGACAATCAGGTTCTCTCTGTCTCTCTCTCTGTCTCTCTCTCTCATTTTTGAACTTGCAGGTCATAACCTGTACCCAAACCTGTCAAGTTTGGCAACCTTTCCTCAATAAACCAATTTAAAAAGTCAAATTAATAGCGAGAAGTAGAAAAAGGTGACTAATTCAATGTGGCCACATTGGGAAGAGGCAGAAAGGGTTCAACAACCCCTACTCAAAGTCCATCTTCAGGGTTCCGAAATGAGGGCAAGGGTTAAATAGACAGCAGGAAGTGCCTAGGCCTCCAGGGTGTGATCCTGCCTACCACTGGCCCATCCTTGTTCTGATTCTTCTTGGATATGAGCATAACTTTAGAGCCCTTGGTGGCATCCTCCTGAGGTCCTGGAGTCTCTTAACTGTCTGAAGACCTGTGCTGGCTGTGCCAAGCTTCGCCCAGAATCGCCATCAGGACCACCAAGATCACTACAGCCAGGCCCATGCGGATGCCATTCCACACTGTGTAGCTCTGGAGTGTGGAGTCTAGAAGGAAAGGATGATAGTGTGGGCACTCCCACATGGACAGAACCCAGCCAAGCAGTCCTGAAATAGGAGTTACCTTCCCATTTTTGTGTTAGAACCTGTCCTCTTGGACACTTGCCCAACGGCCCAGGTCCTGTGTGACCTAACTGACAGGGAGCTGGTTCTGAGGGAGAGAGGCTGATTTCTCCACTGTCTGCCTCTCCTCCCCTTTGGGGATGACTTTGGCATCCTGAGTTCTTTGTCTGACTGTCCCATCATTCAGAATGCCCTGCACCTCCTCCTCTGGTGTTATCTGTCCCCAGTACCCTGAGATCCCTCGATGCACAGTGAACAAATGGGTTTTAGGGACAGCATAAGCTGGGGAACTCATACTTGCTATGGATCAGATTCAGTTCTGAGCTTTTGAAGTTCATCCTAAATGCCCTAAGAGTAAACTGGGGAATAAACTGCTCTTCTGCCCTACAAGGACACAGTGAGATTTCAGAGCCTGGTGGAGCCCACCTCATCCCCAGTTAGAACTATTTGGAGAGAGTAAAGCTCCAGACTCACAGCATGGCCACTGTCCTCTATTTCTGGGGAAAAGACCCTCAGAGCCCCGGGATCTTCAGATTCTGATGAGACCACAGGGCACAGGACCATAAGATTCCCTCTCTCTTTATGGAGATGAACTACAAACCTGGCTGACACTGATGAAGCCATGACAGGATTATGGACCCCAGGCACGAGGGCAGAGGGGGAAGAGAAGGAGAGTTCAGACAGGTCTCTCCTCCTGGAAATTTCTATGAAGTACTAGGGGAAGAAAGTGAGACTGGAGTTCACCAGACAGTTAAACACACAGGTTCAGAAAGTGGAAACTACCGAACCCACCACAGGGACAGAGAAACAGCAGTGGCCTTGACAGCCTGGGAGTCAGTGGGGAATGGGGGCCAGTTTGGCTGTTTGCCATTCATCTAACTGCTCCAAGCACCGAGGAAGCATTCCTTTAAAGGGTCTGTGCTGTTGATATCTACCTCCCAAATAGATACAGGTAACATTTGTTCATATCATCAAGTCTCTATAGAATTGATTATATTTTAAAGTTTTGCTTACATATCTATGTGAGTGGATAAATATACACATAGATGGAACAGGCCTGAAATCTCCAGTCTCAGTAAACACGCCAGATAGAGAATGGCTGAGAGCCTGTCTTTCTGACTGGTGCTTCTCACATAGTCCCTTAGCTTCCACTGTGTCCCTTGGACCCACCTGTTCCCTTTCTGTGCATCTTTGATTATAGATGACTTGCTGAGACCCAAGGAAGGGACAAGACCAGTGGCATAAGGATCACACCCTCCCTGTTCCTGTCCTGGAAACACACCTTCATAACTCAGGTAGCACCTGGTCAATCAAACAGAGGTGAGGGAGCTACTCTGCTGAAAACAGGGTCAGGAGGTGCCAGATGCTAACGTCACCTCCTGACCCAGTGTCTCACCTGCAAGTGGCCCTGAATCATCTCAGAATTAACTTGGTGGATACCACTCAGGTCTGGGTGATAGAGTCAGTCCTGCACACTGTGCATATGAACACAGGTTGTCTGAGTCACAGCTGAGCACTGAGAAATAGGAGAAAAGACTCTCAAATTTAAAGGAAGAATTACCTCATCTCTCCTTGAGGTGGTCAGTTGATCTGCTGGACTCTGACCCAGGATATCTTGGGGACTGACTACACACAAGGAAAGGATCACCTCATCACAAAGTTTTCTCCAAACTACCACCCAGCCCTGCTTGGAAGATATCCCTAGATCATGTGACAAGCCCAGTCAGGGAGACTGCACCAGAGAGAAATATTCCTGGGACCATCATAAGCTCTGGCTCAGTAGAAAGGACAGCGTAAGTCTGTTTCTAGTGAAAAGACACGCATTCCAGTGAGGACAGTCAGTCCTCCTGTTTCTGGACCCAGTCCCTACCCAGTCAGGAGGGTTAGCTCTGTGACCAATCTATGGTAGAACTACCTAGGCCATTTGATGGCCAATGAAACTGGGGCTTCAAAGCCCTGGGAACAAACCTGAGGTCACTGCTAAGCCTGTGGCAGGGCCCTGGGTGACATCTTCACTAGTCACCTCCAGCTTCAGGGTCTCACTGCGCAAAGACCAGGAGAAGCCCCTGTTGTAGATGCAGGTATAGAATCCAGTAGTGTTTTCATTCACTGAAGGGATGAGGAATCTGGCCTTCTTCTTAGGAGGCAGACTGTTCTCTTCAGACCATATCACAGAACGTCCCTTTTCCAGGCGGAATATCTCAAATATAATAGGGCTCTGACACACAATGGTCACTGGTCTCCCTTGGGGGATTACACGGTCTGGCTCAGCAGAGATGGAGGGTCTGGGCATTTGTCCTAGGAGTGGGCAGAGCAGGAATCTCAATGTCCATATTGAGGAAATCACCATGACACAGAATGAATGTAGGCATACCATTCCACATTCTTGGGAAATATGGAGTTGTCCAGATATGGTTTGAATGCAACCCTATGATATCCCCACCCCCGGCCCCATGCACTTTCTGTGCTCACTAGAATTCACATCATTGCAGTTGCTTTCCCACATGACAATGAGAACTCCAAGCCTGGGCACATCTTGGGTCTGGCTCATGTTCACCTGGGAAGTCTCAGAGCATCCTGGGGCTGGTAAGGGCACACCTACTGTACATCCCAGCATTTTAAACTTCCATTTCTATTTTTACTGTTTTTATAGATTCTTTAAGAAGTTCACACAATGTCTTTTAATCATATTCAGACACCCTCCCTCCATCAACTCCCAGATCCACTCCCACCTCCCAACTTTATTTCAATTATTTTTAAGGCCTGTTGAGTCTAATGTGTGTTTCCTAAGTGCACTTGGGTGTGGGTCCATGCCTGTCAACTGACCTTTTGTCTCACCCCTAAAGAAAACTGACTCCTCCTTCCCCCATCCATGCTGAGTTTTTGTCTGGCTTGGACTTCTGCAGGTCTGTGTCACAAGCCCTGTGGGCTCATGTGTACAATGCCTGCTTCCATTTGTTGGTTTCCTCGTATTCATCTACCACCTCTGGTTCTTACAACCCTTCTGCCCTGTCTTCTGCAGTGACCCCCAGAACCTTGGGAGGATGTGTCCCATTTAGGGCTGAGCACCCCACAGTCTCTTATTCTCTGCACATTGACCAGTTAGGGGTCTCTATACAATCTGTTGCAAGAAGAAACATCTCTGGTGAGAGTTAAGAGATGCAGTGATCTAGCATTGTGGCACTGTTATCTGGGGGACAATCAACATCTATTTAATTGGACTTGAAGCCCTCTCAATGTGAGAGGGTAGATCTTCTTTAAGGGAGCGACTCTAGATAGGCTGACTAGACTCCAATGGATGAACATGAACGGAGGGACATTTGGGTACAAATGCTTGACTGGATAAGACTTAACATATATGACAGAATGCATGAAATTTGGTGGGGGGAGGGGCTATGGGGGTGGGAAAGAGGGAGGTCTAAATTTGATTAAGATCTATTATATGAAATGCACAAAACTCAATAAAAAATAAAACAAAACAGTTTAAATTAACAGCAAAGAAAATATTATGGTTACCATTAAAAAAAAAAAAAAGAAATAAAAGCTGTATCTGCCTCAGACTGATTGGAGATGGGAGGGAAGGTGGACGAAGCCCTGTTCTAGGGAAGCCATGTCACGTAAGAAATTATCGTCATGGGCAGAGAGCTAACAAAGGCACCCATCCGTTATTCATTCTTTCTATTTAAATTCACGATAGGGGCTGGAGAGAGGTTCCGAGCACTGGCTGCTTTTGCAGCAGTTCAGTTCCCAGCACACACACAGCGGCTAACACCTGTCTATAACTCCAGTTCCAGGGGAGCGAATGTCCTCTCCTGGCCTGTGTGGGCATTTTGCACATGTGCTACACTTCTACTCACTCATAAGCAAAACACATATAGAATAAAAAGAAAATAAATTTTAAAACAAACAAATTCACGTGATAATTGCCCAAATCATTGTACATTATAAATACATATGTGTGTGTATTGAAACATAATACAATTTATGGTGACCAATATGATGTTTGAATATAAGTATACATTGTGGAATAGCTATATCGCTATATCAAGCTGATCAATATGTGGATTACATCACATACTTACTTTCTGTGAGGACAACATTGAATATTTGGTTTCTTTAGAAGTTTCCAAGCTTACAACTATGTGGTTACTAGTCATATTATACAATTGCCCTCCTGATCTTATTCTTACATAAATGCAGTTTTGTAGCTTTTGACCAACATCTCCCAATTGATTTTTTCTTCCTTCAACCTTTCAGACATTTTTTAGTTAGTTTTCAACTTTTTTTGTGACTGCTTTCTAAGAAAAATATTTTGTGTGCATTTCATATACTAGATCTTAATCAAATTTTGTCCCCCTCTCTCTTCCAAGCCCTTCCATAGCACTGGATTTCACAATTCAGTCATATATGTTAAGTTTTATCTGGTCAAGCATTTGTACCCAGATGTCCCTCAGTGCAAGGATCCTTATATTTATAGACAAGTATACCTCACACGGCTCATCAAAGAAGCTTCTTTTTGCAACAGATGGAGGCAATATAGAGTTCCACAACTGATCACACACAGAGATCATGTATCTGAGAGATACATGCCCAGCCCTAAGTGACACATCTACAGTGGAACCTCTACACCTAAGGCTCATGGAACATAGCAGAACAGGGGTAGAGAGAACATTAATACATCCCTCAATTCTCATCAGTGAAGTTTCCTCATTCAATAAAGTGTAATGCACACAGAAAGCCACAAATGGCTAAGCCTTTTCAGCTTTTAAAAACACTTTCTTTATTATACAAGAGACACAGGCACAGTGTCTGCCCTCTGAAGCTGGGGCCTGAGAGGGAGGACAGTTGTTAACTGATTTGCTAAGCCCACAGCTACAAATGTTTCAAGGAAGGTCAGGCAGGACACCTGCAGGTATTTTATTTAGTCTGCAGCGTGGTCCAGCTGGCTCAAGCCTCAAAATCCAGACCCTGAAGGGAACTAGCACACATCTTCTATACCTTAGACATTGGGTCTCAGTGAGAAGGAAACTTACATATTGATTGACTATCAATAAAGTCTCAAAACCTGGCAAATTGTTATAAATTTAGAAAAGGAAAACATGCTCTTTAAAAAATCCCCAATCTGAAAGTTATTGCAGAAGTCTTCATCTGAGACAAACAAAACTGGGGATGTTTCATCAGAACACAAGGAAAATGGTTCTAGCTAGCTGTGTGTGTGTTCTAACCACAAACTTGTCAGCTGACAGAGACCCAGAGAGAAAACAAGGATTAAGATGCACATTTTCCTAAATAGTCCATAAAGCTCTTCATCAGCCCCCTCCCCCAAAAACTCGGTATTTAACCCAGAGTTAAACTATAAGGTCTCATTTTCTTTTTGATTGAGGGCCTCATCTAATGCTCTGAGCTTGGTGGTGGTTCTTTTCTTTACAGCAGCTTCTACAGAAGTAATGAGGCTCCTACAAGGGGAAGCCATACGAGGAAGTGACTAACAGTTTTCTAACATTGGTATGAGGCCAGTTAAGTTTTTTAAACCTCTACAAGTAGGAAAACATCCCCCAAATAAAGAACTAGGGTCCTAGCTCTTCATTCCTGTTCAGGTCTGTGCTGGTAATAGGCTATCTTTCTGATATTATTGGCTGAATTTTTTACAGTTTGTCCATTTTCATCTAATGCCAAGAGGTTTTGGCAAATAGCAGCTCCCATTTGAGTTTGTGTAGCTAGAAGGTCTAGAGCTGAAGCAGTTTGATTGGTCATAGTTTCTAACACAGCCCATAGGTGAATGATTCAATTAAGCCTATAGACAGGTATTCTATAGCCCCAACTGCCATCCTGTGCCCGGATAGCTGAGCTGTAGGTGGGAATGATGGATAGAGGTGGCTGTTCATCTTCACACCAGTTTTGTTACCCTCCTAGGTTAATTCCCTTTCCAATGAGCCTTTTTTCCCTTGACCCCAAATTTTCATATAAAAGGACTTCCAGGTCCTTACCAGTTTGGTTTGACAATAAGAGGAAAGCAGGTCAAATTATTCCAATAGTACACGTCACCTACCCAGTTGCTAGAGAGATGGGTATATGCCCTCCTTCCATAGATCCAGAACAGTCCACTTAGTGCTTTCCAGTTAGTGTGAACTGGATTAGCCCAGAATTTATGGATCTTTGGAATGCCTCAAAAGGCACTGACCTGAGTAGTGTCAGGGCCAGTATGGTTATACAGAGCCTGTGTCTTCTGAATTCTTATGCATCTAAGACCATTAGTCCCTGTTCTCTTTAGATTGGGAGCCCCAAATCAAGTAAGTCTATCTTGCTACCAGGTGGGGTTCCAGAACAGGGGGTCCTTCCTATCCATTGGGTGTGGCCAGGCCCCAGCCAACTAATACATTCTTTTCCAAATACCTCTGATGTGAGGACACAGATCTGGGGTCTCTCATCTTCTTGTTCAGTGAGATTTGGGCTCATTGGAATACAGAACAGACTCATCTCTATCCAGGGCCATTCTTCACTCATGAGGGTGCGTCCACATACCCAACAATTTTTAAGAACAAGGCTTTTGGGAATCCTGTCTGCCAAGAATATAAAGAGATTTTTACCAAAAGAGGGAAGTTTAAGGTTTGGGCTTAAATTCTTATATAGCAGCTGGGTCAGGGCTGGTGGTGATGGGAGCCGTAGTGACTGGTTTCAGTTCCATAGCTCATAACTGCTCATAAGGAGTATAGGGACCTGAGGATCTGGTTTCCAACAATATGATTTTCCTTCTGATAGGGCAATGTCCCGTTTGCAGGGCAGGTCATTTAGACACTGAGAACTGACACATGCCATGTAGTTTGTAACGGCTCAGGAAACAAGGGATCATTGAAATATAATATCCCTCCAAGTGGTTCCCAGCACCCACATGGCAGCTAACAACCATTCTAACTCCAACTCCAGGGGATCCAACACCGTCTTCTGGCCTCCACAGGCATTGCATGACATGGGTGCATTTACACACATGCAGGCATAACACTCACACACATAAAATAAAACTAAGATATTTTCTTAAAAATTTAAATAAGAAAACAAATAATTGGGGTCCATAATGCGTGGCTAGATGGGTCATAGATCACAGAGGAAAACCTACTAATATTGTTCTGCTAAATGGACACAGTATTAAATGGACTTCTAGGCTTATCTTTATACCCACAGATAGGGAAGCTCTCAACTCCCACCAGAGAATCTTCTTTTAACAGCAGATGGTGATTAGCACAGAGACCCACAACTGGTCAACGTACAGAGAAGAAGGGACTGCAGAGTGCTCAACCCTGAATAAGACACCTATATCACACCCTCTCCCGATAAGTTTCAAGGATCACTGTGGAGGAGGGGGTGGAACAATTGTGAGAGCCGGAGGCGGTGAATGACTACAGGGAAAGCATGTCCTCAAGGCACAGCAGGGCAGTTGCACATATGAACTCACAACAGCACACACAAGACCTGCAAGCTCAAGCCAGACAAAATTCCAGAATGGAGCCGGGGGGAGGAGGTGGGCATGATGTCCTACCCTTAGCTGAGAAGCTATTGGTGATTGACAGCCACTAGGAAAGAGAGAGCCAGTCTTCTTTAAGAGTGTTGACCACACTCCAGTGGATGGCCACATACCCAAGAATATATGGGCCACACAAACTGGACTCAATGGGTATTTTTTTAAGAGGACACAAAGTTGGGTGAGTTGAATCCTGGAGGAGTTGGGGAAGATAGTAAATATGATTAAAGTATATTGTATGAGATTCTCTAAGAATTAATTTTTGTATATTTTTATTGAATTTTTGTGTATTTCATATACATCCTAATCATCTGGATACCGTTCCCCCATCTGCACTCTCCCATGTCCCCCTGCAAGATTTCATGCGTCTTGTCATTTACGTTAAGGCCTATGAAGTCCAGTTAGTGTACCCAGATGTCCCTCAGTGCAAGTTCATCCACTGAGGTCTAGGCAGCCTATCTAGTCACTCTTAAAGATCAGCTCCCCCTCACTCCACACTATCAGCTTCCAGTAGTTCCTCAGCTAAGGTTGGGGCCTGCTGCCCATTTCCCCAGTGCTATGCCAGGTTTTTGTCTGCATTTCTCAACTCTCATCAACAAAGCTCCCTCATGCAACAGGGGGCAGTGATCACAAAAGGCCACAAATGGCCAAAGCACAGAGAATAGGAGTCTTCAGAACGCTGGTTCCTGGACAGGACCCCTCTATTAAACTTCACCCACCCAGGGCTCAGGGATCATTGTGGAAGAGGGGCTGGAAAGACTGAGAGAGCCAGGGGAGGAGGTACAGGACCATATAGAAAAAGAGTTTTAAAATTCTTAAAGATATAAAGAAGATAAAGTAAGAGAAGCACAGAATGAGAGAGGAGCTGACTAGAGACTACACATTTGGCTGTGTGCATGATTGGAGGGGTGGGCTTTGTTTAACGGTCTCTCTCCAGGCCTTCCAGAGTCCACATGTTTATATCTAGAGTGGACCACAGGTACAGAGGCAACCCAATGACACGACTTACCTTTCTGCATGTGGATTGTCCGTCCCAGGCACAGCACTGGAAGAGAAGCTCCAATGAGAAAAACACCTACCACAGTGTTTCCATAGAGAGCTGAGCAGCACTTGGAGAAGGGGGACGCCCAGCCTTCCATGATTTCCCAGACATCCCTCCTCCACATTAACATCTGCTCATGATCTTTCTTGTTCCTTCCCCTTCTTGTTCTTAAATGGTTTTAGGATGTCCCTAAGGCTGGGTGTAGTGGTCCAAGCTTGTAATCCCACCTACTTGTAAGGATCACAAGTTCACATCTAACCTGAACTCCCAAGTGAATTCAAACTCTGTCTGGACAACTATGCAAGACTCAAAATGAATAAGAGCTCTGATGATAAAGTTCAGTGGTAGAATGGTAGTCCATTGTGCACCAAAGCCAAAAAATCAACAATAAAAAGGCTGCTGCATCTTCGAAGCCATCTACCTTTCCAAGCCATCTACCCTTCTAAACAGGCACTCCATACCCTCTCTGGGAGATCACCTTGGCCCCCGACCCCATCCCTGTTCCTGTCACTGAGACCACAAGGATAGCCTCCAAGTGCATTGGGAATGTCTGCACTCGGAGGCTCAGAATCTCCTGATTGGAGTCAGGCCTCAACTGCAATGGACCTCTTCCCCCGAATCGCATCCCTTGTCCCCGAAGTTCTCCCACGACTCACAGAGCACTGGCAGTATGACAGGGTGGGGAAACATGGTTCAGGGTCCAGCAGTGTGAATGGGCCTGGAATCTAAAAGTGGAGTAGACACAGGGAGCAGGAAGTGCTGGTGGGTGTTTCTACATCCATTGCCTCACACAAAGAGGAAGAACTTTTACTTCTATCTTTCCCACCCGTTGAGATAGTGACTTAGAGGGAAGGTCTCAGATTTAAAACACATGTTTCTTAGTAGAACACAGGGTGAAAAGAGTATTCATGCACCTCTCAGCTCTCATCAGAGCAGCATTCTCATGAAGCAGATGGTGATAGAGACCCCGCAGAGACTAAAAGGCCGCAGAGTCCTTATCCATGAATAGGACACCTATATCAAACCTCTGCCACCCAAGGCTCAGGGATCACTGTGGAAGAGGAGGTGGAAAGGTTGTAAGAGCCAGAGGTGGTGGACGACCACAAGGAAGCAGAGTTCCAGACAGCTGGTCAGTTACTCATATGAACTCACAGCAGTGGTGACGGCATGTACAAGTCCCACATAAGCTCAGGTCAGACAAAATCCCAGCATAGACATGGGGAGGTGGGGAAGAAACCCCAATCTTAGCCGAGGAACTTTTGGTAGCCTATAGCTTCTAGGAAAGGGAGAGTCAGTTTTCTTTAAGGGTGTATCACTGAATAGATTAGCCAGGCTCTGTCGATGGACCCACACCAAGCGGCATTTGGGGACACAAATTTGATAGGCATTAATATACATGGCAGATTACTGAAATCTGGCAGGGAGCTATAAGAAGGGTGTAGATAGAGAACGGTGTCTAAATATGATCAAAATACATTGTAAAAATTGGTTTATCTGGGCCAACTCTATGGTTTTAAACACCCAAAGAGAAAGTATAACCAAAGATTAAAGGGGCCAATATAATTTTTTAAGAGTCCATATGTATAGCTAAAGGCTACATAACAAGCAACAATGCCAGAAAGGAGATACCTTCCTTTGAGTTGTTGGCCAGGGTGGCCCAAGAGACTCCCAGATAGTAACCTAGCATGGAACTGGGAAAAAAACAGCACATCCCAATCTTATCTAAAGGAATGTTGGCAACTGATTGCTGCTAGATGAGGAACAGCTGACCTTCCTAAAACAAAGACCTCTAGATAGGCTGACTAGATTCACTGGATGGACAAGTATTGGGGAACGGCTGGGGGTGCCGACAACACAGTGGACAGTAGCAGGGATGACAGAGTATAAGGGCTCTATTGGGGGTGGGCTATGGGAGGGTGCCATCTGGGAAGAGGGTGTGTATAGATGAATAAGATTGTTTATGATGTTCTGTGTGATATACACACAAAAAATCAACAAATTTTAAAAAAGTTATATTTGAGGAGGAATCATAAAAACTTACTTTATGTTAATTAGTCGAGGTGATAAACATTACCACTGAAATCTACCCGATGACTTTATATCCATACACAGGTGCCAAGGAGCCAAGTGCAACTGACTATGACTAGTAATAATCAGATACATACAGATTAGAGACACATGCACCAACATCTAAGTGTTATTAGCAAAAACAATGAGTCTTTCTGTAAGAAACAGTATATTTTAAAATGAAATGGAGATCTTTTTTAAAGGTTAAAAACTCATTCAATTTTATGTCTTGTAGGGTTTATACTGAGTTCAATATTATATAACTGTATTAATTCAATTGTGAATCTAAAAATGTTATAGGCCCTTTTGAAAGAGGTGTATCTTTTCTCTGGAAATTGTTATTGAGTATGTTAAGCTGTAATGAAATCCTTCTTCTAAAAAATAAAAAATAAATTTAAAAAATTAAAACAAACAAACAAACAAACAAAAACCATGTTTCTAACCCATGCACTTAAGTGCAGTCAAGCTCAGTCCTGGGCATGTTAACCTTGTAAATATGTGGACCCAGGAAAATAAGATTGTGAAAGCCAGGCTGCAAAGATGGTTCAGAGGGTAAACATATTTGCTGTGCAGGCCTGCCAACCCGAGTTCCAAACCTGGAATCCACGGAAAGATGGGCAGAAAGAACCAACTCCCCAGAGTTATCCTTTAACTTCCAAACACATGATGTGACATGCACACACTCACAGGCACACCTCTCACACATACAATAATAATATTAATAAAATAAAATGTTTTAAAAAAAGAACTTTAAGAGGCTGGAGAGGAGGCTCAGTGGTTAAGAGCACTGGCTGCTCTTTCAGAGGACCAAGGTTCAGTTCCTAGCACCCACATGGCAGCTCACAGCTGTCCTTAACTCCAGTTCCAGGGGATCTGATGCCCTATCTGGCCTCTGTGAGCACCAGGCATGCACATGATGCACTTACATGCATCCAGGCAAAATAGTCATATACATAAAATGTAAAAATAGATACAATTTTTTAAACTTTTTTTTAAAGGTCATGAATGTCAGTCCCAACTCTACAAAGCAATGACTTCTTTGAACAACACATTCCAAACCATCAAGCCTGTGTTTCTTCGTGTTTAAAATAAGAGCTCTACGGCTTCTCTAAGTGTTCGATGTTATGCTCTTTGTTAAAGTTCCAACCAGATACTTGCCACATTGAAATGTCCCAGGACTGATAATTTTTTGAAAGACAGCTGTTGTTGAACATGTGGAGAAATGAGGTTCTTTTCACACTGTTACTAAGAACCTGATGTCCTGACTCATATGGGTAAAACTGCATCTGAGCATATGGGTCAGAAAGACTTAGAAGTCAAGACTTCCCTCCTCGTCACTGGCGGGAAGGAGCGGAAAGAACAAGTCAGAAAATCCTTCTTCTTTGCGTGAGGCACCGTGGAAACAACGTGGGTATGCCACAAAGAAGTTAAAAATAGATCTGCTGGGGTTGGGGATTTAGCTCACTGGTAGAGAGCTTGCCTAGCAAGCACAATGCCCTGGGCTCAGTCCTCAGCTCCGAAAAAAAAAAAAAAAGAAACAAAAAATAGATCTGTCACAAGACCAAGAAATGCCACTCCTGAGTACATTTGAATAAGAATGTAAAAGAGATGTTGGTACTCCCGTGGTCACTGCAACACCGTTCACAGTAGCTGAGATGTAGGAATAATCCAAATATCCATTAACATAGGAGTGCATTAAGAACATGTGAATACACAGACTAAAAAACTACTCAGCCTTGAAAAAGGAAGGTAATGACAACATGTGACAAAACATGGTGAACCTCAAAGGCGTTTTTCTAAGAGGAACAAGCAATGTATGAGTCAACTTATATGGGGTTTTAAAATAATTTAATCCATGTTAGATATAGTGGCTCATGTCTGTAATCTCATCACTTGAGAGGCTGAAGCAGAAGGAAGACCATGAGTTCAAGACAGCCTGGGATACAGACCAAGTTCTAGGACACCTAGGTTAAACAAAAAATGGCACGAACTATATTGTCCACACCAGTGCCCCAACGCCACTGTCTCTGAACCATATCAGAAGCAATCACTAAGGGACACATGTGCATCCTATTCCCAGACTGCAGGCAAGTCCTTAGGAGGAACTGCAACCATCTTCTTACCAGAGAGCATCACAAGCACTTCCCAGCAAGGAAAAGTCACAAGGATAAAACAAACCAACAAGAACAAAAGGGGAATAACTAACACTGGGAGACACTTGCATCTCAACATGTACACAAAACACAAAAAGACATATAAAGAATATGACATCCAGGGGCTGGAGAGATGGATCAGTGGTTAAGAGCACTGACTGCTCTTGCAGAGGACCTGGGTTGGGTTCGAATCCCAGCACCCACATGGCTACTAACAGCTATCCGTGACTCCAGTTCCAGGGGCTCCAACACCCTCTTCTGTCCTCTGTGGGCATTGTACAACACAGGTGCACTTACATACACCCATGCAAAACATTCATATACATAAAAGAAAAGATAAATAAATTAAATGTTAAAAAATAAAATAATAATGTGCTAAGGTTTTTAAAAAAAGAATATTAAACAACACACAATGACATATCCACCACTGCACAACTCCCTAAAAAGAAAAATCAGAGACCCTGACATCAGTGAAATGTCAAAGGAAAATTTCAGAGAATTCATTCTAAGAAGGATCATTGATGGGCAGAATGGGGCTGGAGAGAAGGCTCAATGTTAAGAGCAATGGATGCTCTTGCCGAGGACCAGGTTTGGTTCCCAACACCAACATGGCAACTAGCAATCATTCATAATTCTAGTTCTGGGGGATCCGACACCCTCTTCTGGCCTCCATGGGCCCTGCATACACATAGTGCTCTTGTATACATGGAGGGGACAGAGTTGGGGGTGGATTTGGTCTAAACACATTCTATACATGCATGTAATTCTTAAACCAAAACCAAAACCAAAGCAAGAAAATAATACTAAAAGCTTTAAGGAAAAAAAAGTCTCATACAAAAGATCTGAAAATTTTCAGATCTTTCAAGAGCAACCCCCAAACCAAGAAAGCCTGGAATGTTGTACTTCAAGACCCGAAAGCCAACTTTGCTATGCACGGCTCTTTGTTCTCAAAATGATGGACAGATAAGAACACTCCAAAACTAACACAAAATGAAGCAATTTATAACAACAATACAGAGCGTTCATAGAGGAGTACTAAACAAAGAGGAAGAGGAAGTACAATTTTTTAACATTTAAATTTTTTATGGGGTTGAGGATTTAGCTCAATGGTAGAGCGCTTGCCTAGCAAGCGCAAGCCCCTGGGTTTGGTCCTCAGCTCTGAAAAAAATTTTTTTTTATGTGTATGAGTGTATTGCCTGCATGCATTTAATTGCACCCATGTCATGCAATGCCCAAAGAGTTCAGAATAGTGGGTCGGATCCCCTGGAATTGGAGTTATGGATGGTTGTTAGCTGCCATTCGGGTGCTGGAACTTGAAACCCAGTCCTCTACAAGAGCAGTCAGTGCTGTTAACCACGGAGCCATCTCTCCAATCCCAAGTAATACAATCTCCTGCATGAGAACACAGCAGAAAATATAACCCATCGCAAGAATAGATGGACAGAAAAAGAGTGGGAAAGGAATCCATCATGTCCAACATAGCAAAGCCGTACTACTAACAGGGGAGGGAAAG